CTCCATAAAGCCGATAGGACGGCATTGTAAGTGAGTGCTTGGTGATTGATGTCGCTGTTTTTGTGAGCAGGGAAGCGTTAATAACGATCGTATACAGCTATTGGGTGTAGGTAAGTACAAGCGGACCCAAATTGAATGGAATACATGAATGTGTGAATACTTTGCTGATGAAAAGTAGCAGAAGTTTATGACGTATCCGCCTCGCCATCTGTTGAATTTGATTGAATCAAATTAATCAAATTAACACGATTGCCTTTCCTTGTATCAAGCATGAAGTCTGATCTATCACTTGTGGTAGTGGCATCTGTTTTGGGATGGAATTCGCCCTACGCGATTACGCGGAGTTTTCGAGCGAGGACGGTGGTCTAAAATTAGGAGACGAGCTGGCCACATGTCCAGTGCTCTCAGATATTACTAAATATAGTTAACGGATGGGTTAGCGGCGACTGTGACAGGTGCAGAGTAAGATGTAGAGATTAATCCAGTCTAATTCCCGGGTCCCAGAGCCCCACAGGCGAAACAACTGTCCCGGCCCCAAACAAAGGGCGACCTAACAAATTAGGAAGGAACCTCCCGTATGGCGTTAGACATCAATTTCTGTCGCACAGCCACAAAAGGCTTACGATAACGCAGACGTTGTGCATTTTCCAGGCAGGGGCTTCGTTCGGCAGTAAATTTTCGCAGTGCAAGATATTAATGATTTGGAATTGCAGTCAGGGTTGATGTTTGTCCGGCAGGACCCACAAAAGTCGCCAGATGGCGTAATTCAGCGGCCGTGTTGTCAGAAATATTGACTAAGGTGGTCTAACTATTTAATGCATGCAGATAGGATCCCTGTCATAGAATATTAGGTTAAAATCTAGAATAACAAGACAATGACGGATAGAAGGGCGAAGGACGGACGGTATGATGTCAGACGCCCTGGGGAGGAGGCGTGACCGTGGCTTAACCGGCCCGCGATCCGTGTCGGACACCCGGGCACACTCCTGCTGACACCCCGCCCACCGGGGCATGTTAGCCGCTGACAGGTTCACCTCACACGTCTGAACAAACAGCGATAATCACATCTGTGGCGAAGGACTTCTGACAAAGGATCCAATAGACAGTTTTCAATCAAACACCACATTCCGTCCCTGTTCTATCTCGAACACGAAATAGAACAGGGGGTTCGACGCGTTCGACATAGAACAGGGCCTAGGGGGTTCGATGCGTTCGAAATAGAACACGGGGTTCGACGCGTTCGAAATAGAAGTTTAGAACAGGGTGTTCGACGTGTTCGACTAGGAACGTTACATCAGGGCTAGTAATAAGTCGGCTGTCCTGACATTAGGTCTTCATACGCCATATGAAATACTTCACGATCTATAGCCAAAATACTAGTTTATATTTCATCTTATATCTATCTAATACTAAGACCCAGCAATTTTTCTTGTTTGTAGCATGTCATGTTTTTTTCTGCAGCTCAGCGGAGTCATTTTAATCCTGGAATGCGAGAAATGTTTTGATGATGCATATAGACGCAGTGGCGTATCAATCATGGCCAAAATTCCACGGCATCTGCAAATGGCAGTTGACCTTGAACCCGCATATTTATTTGTCTAATATAGCCGAGTTGATTTGAAAGTTTTACTGGTAGGCCAAAACACTGGTTCACTGTGCACTGAAGCTAGGTGTTACTGCTAATAATACGGTCCAAAACGCAAAGTGATTGTTTCAACAACAGTGAGATATGCGGTTCCAAATGTAAAGTATGATTATACTAGTATACAGTATATATTGTAGCCAACAATATTGAACTGTTAAATGCGGTCCCAAATATAAAGTATTACCACATACCCGATGATTAAAACTTGTCAGCTCCGAGATCATGTGACTCTCGCGTGATCAGTGACGAGAGCTGTGGACAAGTCTCGCTCTCTTCCCTCCCTTCTTTCCCTCCCTCTCTCATCCCCCATCCTCTCTCATAGATACTCCTCTCTTCACTGTTTCCCTCTATGTTCCTTTTTCTCTCAGTCTGCTGATCTTGTTTGATATCAGTTTCTTGTTTCTTTCATGTTCACTTGTTTCTTTGTGATTTATTTTTACCGCCATTTCATCACAATGCTTAATTGTCATGTTGGTTTACAAAAGAGTTTAACAATGTGCCTCACAAGTTCATGTATGTTTCCTCTAAATGTAGATCCTATGCTCTGATAGACATGTCACGTGTCTGACGACGGAAATGACGTACACAATGACGTCACACTCGTACTAATGTCATTTTGAAAACATCCCTTCATGTAACAAATTCTGAATGTCAAACCTAGCCTCTACCAGGCTTCAGAGGCGGTGGAAACGAGTAGAAATTGGCCAAATAGACAGATAACTGTGCTTCTTTAGCGCACCAACTCCCCTGGCATGTTATCTGTCTATTTGGCCGATTTCTACTCTTCCTAACCGCCTCTGAAGCCTGGTAGAGGCTATGTAAAACAATACATTTCCCACCATATGCATCTATACC